GTTTTAGTGTCCAAATAATATAATTCTATATCATTTCATTTAGTATTCATCTATGAAGAATTATAAATGTTAGTAGGGTGAAGGTGGTCTAGGAGGAACTCTGTATAACAAAGACACTTGAGGAAAAAATGCACAGCAAAGAAAGAGAGGGAAATATGTGACTGATTATTGCTTGTGTGGAGTTTGGATGCTTCTCTCCTGTGTTTTTTTATCCCTGGCTTTAGTGGTCTGGATCACACCTATAAAAGACAAATGGGAAAGGTGTGCAGGTTAGACTGTTGTGTCATCTGTATATAGTGATATTAATGGTGCATGAAATGGGTGCTGGGGAACTTATCACAGAATGTAGAGCTGACTCCATGCCTGAAAACTTTTTAGTTTCTTTGCTTCTCTTTGCTTTCTGACTGTTAATCAGATTTTAAGTATATTTGTCCTGTTCTTGATTCTGTGCTGTCATTTACTTTCTGACTCCTTCCAGGAATGGGGTAAGGACTTTTGATTGGAAATAAAGGTTACAAATTGCTCAGCTTTTATACAATGGTACAACATTTGGAATTCACAATATGAATAGTTACAAAGTTAATGAATTTTAGTATTTGTTTTTGTTCATATGTTTTAATCTTTATCCCAAATAGCTGACATGTTGTCACATTTCAGAGGATTTCTGTGGGTTGATCTCTCTCTAGTATTTTGTTGAATTTCTTCAACACAAGCTATAGAAATCTCCAGAGACCTCAGAGACGTGTAAGAATGAAGACATTCTCTTATACACAGTCAATCATAATCCTATGAGTACACCCAAGAGAATTAACGATAATTTCCTTAGCTCATTTCAATCCAATGTACATTCATATTTCCTGTGGATTTCTGAAACCTCTCACAGTTCTCTCTTTCTGAGTTCCCACTCTCATCTCTGTGTTCCCTTGTGGTATGCTTCTCAAGCTCTTGTAAGCCCGATGAATCACCTCATCTGTGTCTTTGAAATACAAAGCTAATAGCTATTCACATATTTTGGTTTATTAAATTTTTGTCTTATGACATCATTGAGTTTTTTGCATTTCAAGGGTTTGTCAATTAGAATAAGACTTGAGTTTTTATTAGATTAAGTTCCAACATTTTGGGCCAGAAATATTCTTTGGGATATTGCATCTCTCAAATACTACCACGTTAGGAAGTGTGCTATCATTTTATTAAAAAGGCCCAGCCAGAACTCTTCTTTGTGAATATTTGGTTTCCTGTGCAGTTAATACTAGCCTGGCTGTCAATAGTGAAGTTCTTATTTCAAAATTAACTTTCAAGTTATTTCACATTAATACTTGAAGAGTATTGATTGATTTTTGCGAGAATTAGATGCCTCCTTGGAGTTTGTGAGTAATGATGGTTTTAATTAAATCTAATCCATTTACGTTTCTTTGTATCACTCAAGCAAATTACTCATTACATAAAGATAAGTGACAATTATTTCTGAAAGACAGATATGTTGATATATTCCAATTAAAAAATCACTGTTCTCAGAAGTGAGTTAAAGTAATTTTATCCACCATTGAGAGGGGGAAGGGAAATGTGTTTGTTCTCATTGTAGGACATTTGCTTTGAGTCAAGATGACATTGCATTTCACTCAATGAGTCAGAATGGAGATTACTCTTTATTACTGTTAATGCATAAATCAGACCAAGTGTCATCAGCAAATGCCACCAACCTAGTCCTTCTGTCCTTCACTTGTAGTGATGTCATGAATCATTAACCAAACTCTTGATTTATTGATGATTTCAGAACAAATGTAATGTTGTATAGGTTTGCATTATTGTTCAGCTCTGTTTACTTTCTCCTTTGTGCAAACATTGATGTTTCATGTAAGATGACATACTTCAGTTTTATCTTTTTATTATCTTGAAGTGCAAAGGAGGTGCCATATAATAACACAGTTAATGAATACACTGCATTTTGATCAGTATCACCCCCCCTTCAACATTCTCACTCTCTTTCGAACCACCCCTTCCCTTACTTTTCTTTATTTTGTAGTATGCACTATGAACTCTTGACTGGGTTCTCTCCATATTCCCCATTCTTTTGTGTTCTCCTCTTGTCCCCACTCCCCTCTTGCAGGTACTAGTTTCCTGGTGCTGATTTGGTTGAGCTTTGACCTAGTCTTTCTTAAAGATTCTACTATTGGAGCTCTTCATAGGGTCTCTTACACCTCATTTAATCTGTCACCATTTGCATACCATCCAACATGTTTACATATAGATTTAAAGTTACATTCAATCTGTTGTAAAATAAAGGAAGCAATGCAACCTTTGTTTCTATGGGTCTAACTTATTGAAGTTGATTTTTTTCTGTCTTTCAATTTCCTTATGAATAGTACATTATCTTTCTTTCTAATAGATGAGTAGAATTCCATTGTGTTTGTATGTGGTGTGTGTGTGTGTGTGTGTGTGTGTGTGTGTGTGTATACTCTGAAATATATATACACATATATGTATTGCATTCTCTTCTATCTTGCCCATGCACAGGTAGAGTGTCATCCCTACCTCAACCAGAGCAAGCTTCTGGATTTCTGCAAATCCAAGGACATTGTTCTGGTTGCCTATTGTGCCCTGGGATCTCAACGACCTAAACGATGGTAATTAGTACAATACCAGGTTTCCATAAAATACCACTTGGCTGCATTGTTTAATCCTATGTGCTTAGTTGTCAGAGTTCATTTTAAATTGGGTCAGGGAAGAATTCACATTTCAGAGGAAGCCCTCAGAGATGCTGTCCCTTCTACCCTGGCCTAGTCCTGGTGGAGAGTGGAGTATTCTGGCATGTTTTGCAAGTTTCCCAAAGATGTGAATACTGGGCCTGTGCATTTCAGCCTTTCTGCCTTTACTTCCAGGGTGGACGCAAGTGCTCCAGTTCTCTTGAATGATCCAGTGCTTGTTGCCTTGGCAAAAAAGCACAATCAAAGTCCAGCTCAGATTGCTCTTCGCTACCAACTGGAACGTGGGGTTGTGACCTTGGTTCAGAGTGTCAAAGACAAGGAGATAAAAGAGGACATACAGGTGATGAGTGGTACTGTGGGCATCAGGTCTCCTGGAAAGAATTCTTTGCTTGTATACTTCCATGGATCCTCTGAGCACAATTTAGCATAAATTATGGCCCCTCATAGTTCCTGTGGATAAGAGATTGCAGGAACTCTTGTAATCCTCTTACCCCCAGCTCAACTAAGAAACAGTACAGCCTACTCAAAGAGGGATTGGCAAGGGCACAACAATTTGGATTTCAGCATGAAGTCAGCAGTGTACTTTGAATTCATGTGCAAGGGATGTATTTTGTCCAATTCCTGAAAAGAAGGATTTGGATTAGGTAATTTAGATGACTGAAATTATGATAGTTGTTGTTTGCACTTCCTTCTAGCTATGATGGATTATGTTTATTCATTTTGAGGGTCTTCCTTCAAGATAGGAATCCTTTCTATCTTGCTCATTTTTCATTGTGGATCTTTGTAGTACTAATCACCCCTTAAACAATCCTCTTAGTAAAACTACATTTAGGTTCATGATTCTTTAGCTTGAAAATTTGCCATTGCTCAAGCCTGAACTCATCCAAGTTTTCTGTCTAAGTTAAGTTTGCTCACATGTTAGTCAAGAAACTACTGTCATGTATGGTAGGATTTGAAGACCTTCTATTATTAATTAGTCAGCCTCCTGAGGTTCCCAACTCTAGTTTTCATCTACCAACCAACTAGCCCAGATTCTTCTCTTCACATAGTACCATACCAACTCCATGAGAACTTGCAAAGCCTTTTAAGCATAGGTTTAACATGGTCACATCATTGCTTTTGCTCATTTCTAACAATCAATGCAAATTACAAAACAGGCAAAATTCAAGGGGTGAGGGAACTGACAAGAATTCACAGTGGAAGAAATTTCAAAATCATGTAAGAGTGCAGAGACAAGGAAGTATGAATTACTGGGAGGCCTTCTTATGTTCTGTTTGCCAAATTGTGTATTCTCAGTGTGAGCCTTTCAGATTGTGATGCATTTTCTGGAATAGCTTTTCATAAACTTTACTTGTCTTCATTCTATCTTCAATTGTTTTCTAATTGTCTCATTTCTTATCTCCAACTGCATAAATTGTAGGGGAAAATAAGCTTGCCTTACATTTTTATTATTTAAAAATAACATGGGCTGTCTACTGGTGGCTCTCATCTGTACACCTAGCTACTCAGAAGGCAGAGATCTGAGGATTGCTTGAAGGCAGTCTGGAACTCATGGGCCTATCTACAGTTAACCATCAACAATCTGGAAGTGATGCTGTAGCTCAAGTAGTAGAGTGGTAGCCTTGAGCAGATAAAGCTCAGGGATAATGCCTAGGCCCTGAGTTCAAGCCCTAGGAAAAGCACATAAAATAGTAATTATAACTTGGCTTTTTGAGTGTCACATAAAATTTAAAGACACATTTTCAAACTCTGTCCTCACAAAGTGTTTATATATTCAAATTGTCAAATACTGTACTGAAATTGTCATTCTGAAGAGAATTGACTTTTTGAAACATTAAGGATTTGAATCTCTGGTTATTATATAATTAAGCAATTGTTACCTTGTTGAAACTGTTTCTCTGCTGGCCTGCCTGTCTGTTGTCTGTCCATCCATCCATCCATCTGTCCATCCGTCTGTCTGTCTGTCTGTCTATCTCTGTCTTTGTCTTTGTCTCTGTCTCTCTCTCACACACATACACACATGTATACACTATGTCAGGAGGTTAACAAGGATTTGGGGTCACATTTGTTTCAATATTTTAGCATTTATTGAAAGTCACTTTGATGTTTATGGTGTCCTAAATTTAATCTTAAAGGGACTTTTCTTTAATTATCACCTGAGTAGCATTTGTTCTTTATGTGTTTCATAGGTTTTAGAAAGCATTAGACATTTCAAACATTTTTTGGATTTCATTGAATCTGATTGACTAAGAGTTTCAAGAATGACAAAAACACAGGCTAGGTATACTAAAAACTTTCATTTGTGTTGTAGATTTTTGAATTCCAGTTGCCTTTAGAGGATGTGAAAGTCCTAGATGGCCTGAACAGAAATTTTAGATATGCTCCTGCTCCGTTGTAAGTAACTTTGTTAAAGATATTACTTCACTTTCTTTTCTTTTCAAGGCCCTTCCTTCCCAAGCACTGCCTTGGCTCTTAAAAGGTTTCCATGGAAGCAGAAAACAGAATACTTGCTTTTGCATTTCTGAAATATGCATTTTGTAATGTGGTGAATAGAAATACTTTGAGAAGAGAGATTCAAAACCATGGGAAGTGAAGGAGGAAAAGCTCAATTGTTGAAGAAAATACATAGTTATTACAAAAATTTTAATTGCTTCCTCAATTCTAGGTGTGTAGAATATGATACTGAACATGGATTCTAAATGAGGATACATAAAGAATATATACTGCATGTGTCTGTGGAGATTTTAATTTATATTGGAAATAAATTTAATACATTTGAAAGGGGACTCAAAATTTAGAATAGCCTGAGGTTAAAAATTAGGAGATACATATACATATATATGTAATTACTATAGAGAAAAATGAAGGGTAAGGTAGAAACATCATAACACAATGCTCTCATGTGGCAATCAGTCAGTAGTTCTCATCACCTATTAAATATCTTGACAGGGTTGGGAAGGTGGCTCAGTGGTAGAGCACTTGCCTTGCATGCATGAGACCCTGGGTTTGATTCCTCAGCACCACATAAGCAGAAAAAAAAAGCTGGAAGTGGTGCTGTGGCTCAAGTGGTAGAGCGCTAGCCTTGAGCTGAAGAGCTGAGGGACAGCTCCCAGGCCCAGAGTTCAGGCCCATGACCAGACCCACCCCCCCAAAAAAAAATCTTGACAGATGCTGATTTTTAATCACTTTATCCTTTGAGTTTTTTATGATAAATCTACCAATCATATGGCAAGATATAGAAGTGTCTATGTTAAATGATATTCTTTCCATATCTGAATCTCATCTAGTAGGTTTTTTGCAATGGGCAAAGAGTAATCAATAAATTAGTAAACCAGGGGTGAAATTACTAACTGTGAATCACACACTTTATAGTAATTTTCATGTTGGTAAAGGATGGAATTACTTCTGTAGTAAACTTGATAAAAGCAGCTTCCATCCTCCTTGAGAAATGAGGTAGAAAGGACTATTTTTCCGTTCTTTGCTTTGGAAGGTTGACAGAAACAATGAAGAAAAATAAAATGTATCAAGGTTCACAGATTCTGCATTGTGTTATGTTCTTTCTAAGCAAGAGAGAAGGCCAGAAAAAATTTAGTCTTTATATTGTAAAAGCATGCTACGTAAAGCGATAGTCATAAAAATTAGAACAGCAAATTCTCACCTGATCTGGACATGTCATGATTTCCAATGGAATAATAGTTATATAGATATAATATCTTCTCTAAAAACAGATCCTAGAGCTCATGATTTGCATTCTTTGTCTTTGTAGCCTTCTTGGTCACCCTAATTATCCATTTTCTGATGAATACTGAAATGGAGGCCTGTGTGACGTCTTCTGCTTGAAGCTCCTGTGTGGAGAGGGTCCTGGGAGGCCTAGTGGCTCTGCCCTTTGGATATATCTGTTCCACTCCATTGGTGATGCTCAGTGGTTTCAGTCAGCTAAAGCTAAGTCTCCTAGGCTGGAAGAGAAGGCTGTACATTGTCATCACTTTCTGAAATAAACGCAAAGTTGTTTCCCTAAAGATTCTTCCTAACACTGTCTTTGTCACTTGCATGTTTCCCCCCCTCTCACCTTCTATAAATAACCCAAACTGATTTGGCCAGAAGTGTATAGACAGGTATCAGGGACCATGCTAGTCATTTTCTCTCAGACTCCAAATTGGTCACCATTATTTTGAGAAGATTAGAAATCACATATGAGATTTAATAGTCATACAGTCTTCTCTTTAGAAAAGAATAAAATTTTTTTTCATACATGTGTATTTATAATACATATAGTGTGATATTACATCATTGACTCATATATTCATTATTTTCCACTATTACATTACAATCTCTCAGTGTTTATAATAATTCATTAATAAATGATTTACCAGTTCCCATTTGAATTCCACCACATATTCTATTATATCAAATTTTAGCCACCTATTCCAAAATTTAACAAATTTAAGATATTTTAATTTCTGTTTATTTATGGATAATGTTCAGTAAAGTCATGAACTGCAGAAATCAGCTCATAGGCACAGTGCATCTTGGTCAGTGTACCTCCATCCACTGCATCTTCCATAGGATGTGACTGCCTTTGTATTTGGTTATGTGACCCTGGGAAATCAGGTTTCCCCTTAGCCATCTCTTGTAAGGTAATAAAGTAGAAATTAAAGGAATGTATGGAAAAACATGCATTTTAGTTCTACCTAGATTGAGCAAAAATTAGAAAAATCCCAAAAGTTCCTTCTAGCAAAGCAAAGGATGCAATCCATGTATGTGAGAAATCCGGGTTGGTGGTTCTGTCCAGTAGTGAACTTGGAGGTAAAGGAAGGTTCTAGGGAAATGTTCCGATAGAGGTGCATAGGCCCACGGATTCATAAAAAGTGGCCACATGAACGGGTGCTGGTGGCTGACGCCTGTTATCCTAGCTACTCAGGAGGCTGAGATTTGAGGATCACGGCTCAAAGCCAGCATAGGCGGGAAAGTCCGTGAGGCTCTTACCTCCAATTAACCACCAGAAAACCAGAAGTAGTGCTATGGCTCAAGTGGTAGAGCACTCACCTTGAGATGAGGAGCTGAAGGATAGCTCCCAGGCCCAGAGTTCAATTCCCACTACCAACAAAAAAGAAAGAAAGAAAGAGCGGCCCCCATATCACTGAAGAAAAAAAATTCCATCCATCATAGGTAGATCTAGATGGAGGTAGTAATATATGGAACAAAGTTTATTGAAGTTTTATTGAACTTTATGCATGAATGGAAATGACATGATCAAACCCTTTACTATGTACAATTCAATATATGTCAGTAGAATAAGAAAAAATAATTTTATAAAAATAAATTGATTTTAGTTCTCTTCTTATATATGAAACATTACCTCTGTCTTCACATTAGTTAATTATTAGACCAGTAGAAACACTGGTTAATCATTACACAGTTACACAAGTGACGCTGGTTAACCATTAGTCAGGGGCTATGGCTATAAGTTACTCAGTGTCCTGTGCAGGCAGCAGAAGGAACAGCATCTGCTTAGACAACTGACCAGCTATGAGTTGTAAGGAGCATTGTGTGAAACTAAATGATGGTCATTTCATCCCCACACTGGGTTTTGGAACCTACACACCTGATGAAGTAAGTTATCCTATGGTGGAATGTTAAAAAGAACGTAGAAAAGAATTCTAGAATGATTGGAAGCTGAACTGGGTTGACATGACTTAGCCACTTCTTGTATGAGTGCTGGGAATTCATTGGTTTTCACGTCTTCTAGCTATGCCCACACCTTCTTGTAAATCTAGATTATTTGAGAATACATTCTTTTCATCAGCATTTAATCTGTCAAAAAGAAGCTGGGTCTATAGCCTCCAAAACAACATTTGGGGTGTCATTTAGTATTACAGAAAGTGAGAATTCAATGGTCAGGGAATGAGGCTTTTTGTCAAATATGCCATCTGACAATGATTTGTAGTACAAATCTCTTCAGTCTGGTCAACTATCCTCTTGGCGTACTCTGAGATCTAGTGATAACTTGTTTCTCCAAATACTATTTCTGGTTGCTCTCCTAGGTTCCTAAGAGTAAGGCCTTGGAGGCTACCAAGTTAGCTATAGATGCCGGCTTCCGCCATATTGACACTGCTTATGCATACCAAGTGGAAGAGGAGGTAGGGCAGGCCATTCGAAGCAAGATTGAAGAGGGCACTGTGAAGAGGGAAGATATATTCCTCACCTCAAAGGTATTATGTCTACAGTGTGTAAGTGTGCAAATGAATGGTGTGATGTAAAGAAGAGAAAATTATGAAATCAAAACAGTTATTGGTGTACCTTCTATTCTTATTTATTTCTCACACAGGATGTATTATGTAAAACAGAGAAAGAGAGTCAGTGGCTCATGCCTGTAATCCTAGCCACTCAGGAGGCTGAGATCTGAGGATCATGGTTCAAAGGCAGCCTGGGCAGGAAAGACCGGGAGACTCTTGTCTCCAATTAACCACTAAAGAACCAGAAGTGGAGCTGTGGTTCAAGTGGTAGAGCACTAGCCTGAGCAAAGAAGCTCAGAGACAGTTGTCAGGCCCTACTTTCAAACCCAGGACTGATAGACTCATACGCACACAAGAAGCAATTTACAAAGATCATGACTATTTACTGACTGTATATAAATCCATAACATTAAAATGCCTTTATGTCTATGTCTTTAACTCAAAGCACCATTATTTAGAATGGGCACTGAGGTGAGATAGACTATGCCCAAATTATGACTTCCCTTCTCCCCTTGCTTATTTTCTACATTTTCTTCACAGTTAGAAGATCAGTTTTTAACACTCATAAATATCAGAGAATTGATATTATCTGGATAGTAAATGATTTTCAGTTAAAATGTACTGATTTGTATAACATGTTCAAATGTTCAAAATATGTCCCTCCAGCCATGTAAATATAAAGATGTTAGTTGTTCATGTATTAATGAATGAGAGACGTAGAGCAATAATAAATTTATAATGTGCATGAAAAGTAATTCAGAGATTGGAAATCATTATTGCTTGATTAAAAATTATCCCTTTAAAATGTATTTCCAATTTCTACATATCGATGAACAATAACCCAATATGATGGGATTCACTTTGACAGGGCAAATAAAAGGAAATTGAAATGTGAAGGGTATATTTTTCAACATCTGTTTCTTTCCAGTACAAACTGAATCAATCTTATGTGACATAAATGTCCATGTTTGGATCATTTAATAATCTAGCACAATTTCTATTTTTTGACTTCCGTAGCTTTGGTGTACTTCCCTTCATCCAGATCTGGTCCAACCTAGCTTGGAAAGATCACTGGCAAGCCTCAAACTGGACTATGTTGACCTCTATCTCATGCATTATCCAGTGGCTATGAAGGTAGGCAATTTATATTATCAGCTTTTTCACGATCAATATGTATGACAAACTTTGTGGATATGACCATAATTTCCACAAATGTTTGAGTTAAGCTTCTGTCAGGAACTGAAATAAAGTTTATTTGTATGTTTTACCAACTATGCAAGTAAATTAGACAAATATTAATGGATTAAGAGGTAGAAAATTTAAGTGTTGTCTATATTTAGAGATTACAGATAACAGTTCGAAATGACTAGGCTTATACAACATTTTCTCCCATCATTACTAGAGGCTTCTTTGCTTCTCAGCCTTGTTTATTGGTGGCAAATGTGGTCTTGAAACAGTTCAAGTGTCACAGTCATTAGCAATCAGTAGCTTCTCCACAACTTCCATGATCAAGGGCCGACTTGGATACAATCTATACTAGCCTGTCCTTGAAACAGCAGGTGTTCAGGTAGCTAAAAACTCTTGATAGTTAAGGCAGGTTCAATATAGAGATCCATTGTTGATGATGGTCTTTTTCAGTGAAACTTATACATTTCACTAGAGGAAACTGTTGGAATAAGAGAGTTACCTATGTGAACAGGAGACTTCATCAGGACTGGTGGAAAGATTGTTTAATAATACTGTATACATAATATTAGTGAATAGAGCAACTTATACACCCAAAGATATTCCTAAGAACTTAGTACACAAGCCACTTGATAGTTCAGTATGGGGAGTGAGTGAAGCTCTACTCACTTTCTTGTATGTTCAATGACTCATTCTCTTTCATACAAGGGTTGTATGGATAACAAATATGTGACTAATGAGACTGATGTAAGTGATTCTTTTCTAGCCAGGGGATGACCTTTATCCAACTGATGAACATGGAAAATTGATATTGGACACAGTGGATTTTTGTGCCACATGGGAGGTGAGTGAGTATTTGAAGGAAAGGCAACAGAGGAAGCTGTCAGAAGAGAGCTGGGTGATATTTCTCTACCTGACAATGAGGTACATCACCTTGGTTGTTAACATTCATTGGGTTTATGAGGATGTTGTGCTGGAGCAGTGGATAAATTGATGGAAAATAATAGAGAGAAATGGAGAGAGGTGGAATTGAAGGCAATAGGAATAGACATCTTTGTCTTCTTATGTAGTAATGTCTCTAATTCTCCAATAAGGACCCAGAAATTCTTTTTCTGTCTGCCATTGTATCTTTTGCTATTATCTTTATCATTTTCTCCTTTGGACAGTCGATTCTAGTGAGTTTGTCATTTCTGGCCAGTCTAGCTGGTGTTTGTTTGCTTGTTTGTTATGGGATACTGGGCGATCAAACACAGAGCCAAGGTAACCTCACCTGCTCTACCACTGAGCAATATTCCCAGCTCCTGACTGTTCCCTTGAGCAGTTCCATCTTTCATGTGTATTGATGCGTGAACCATACAAATGACTTTTCATTTTCACTTGCTCTGCAGGCCATGGAAAAGTGTAAGGATGCGGGGTTGGCTAAATCCATTGGGGTGTCCAACTTTAATCACAGGCAGCTAGAGAGGATCCTGAACAAGCCAGGACTCAAGCACAAACCTGTCTGCAATCAGGTGAGCTGCCTTAGCCTCCTCTTCACCTTTTATTTCAATTTTTTTTATTGTGAAAATACTGTACAGAGGGGTTACAATTGAAGCGCCCAATTTCGGACGCCCATTCACAGACCACCGAGATCATGATCAATGCAAACAGCAAAGAGTTGTTTATTGCAAGCTCGAGCTTGGTCCTCCATGCACTTGGTAACTGGTGACGCTAAGAGGCCCCGAGCACAAAATCAGCATAGCTTTTATAGCATTGAACAAACAAGTTCACAAGTTCAGGGGGTTTCCACACAATCAGTTAGATGATTGGTTAAAAATTGTATAGTACTGAGGTTTGAGTCCACCCTGACCACACTTCCCTTTTTCTGCTGGAATACTTGGGCAATTGCTCTGTTTCGTAAGGGTGGGCAGGGTTGGTGGCAACCTGTGGTTTTATCGATAACTGTTCCTCTTTCGGGGTTATTCTGAGGGTAGTACAGCTACAGGTTAGTGGGGTTAATCTTAAAATGAAGTTACTTTAGCTCTTCATTCCCTCCTCTTCTAGAGCATCGGGGACCAATCATGGTCCTCTAATTGGCACAGTCTTTTATATTTACAGTTTGGTATTGGGATCTCAGAACTAATAGATGGACTGCACTAATCTCTTTTTTACAAGGTCTAATTGTAACAAAATTAACAGTACGAAAGGCCCTTACATTTTCTTTCACCAGTCCTGACTCTGTGTATCACACCTAACTTTAATTTTATACCAGCTGTACTCATAAGCTCCAACTTTTAAGACATACTCATACCATTTGCTACATAGTTAAACTTTCTGAGGTTTGTCTTCCTTTTTTTTTATAAACATTTTAAGACAATCATTATTTTTCAAATGCTTTTTTATCCAAAGGATACCAAATTTTCCCCAATTTCTTTTCCAAGGCTTTCTTTACTACCCTCCTCTTCTTTACAATTCCTTTAACTTCTTTGTGGCTAGAGTTTAAAACTGCCCATTTTTTCCTGTTGCTTGTGGAACCAAGTTATCTTAGAACAGCTTCAAGGCACCACTGAGATGGAGAAGCTTGCTAGATTTTAAGGCTAAGAGCAGGGCTGGGTCTTATTCTTTTTACTGACTACATTGATCACTATGCACTGAAGTGCCTAAGGCAAGCAAGCCAGTGATATCCTTGCCCCCAATATCCACTGTGGGAGTAGAGTGAGTTACTGGATATCACTAAAAGAATGTTCCACAAGATCTTAGTTTTATCAGCTTTCAACCGGGATGCAGTCTCAGGTGATGGAACCAGGCAGGAATTGAAATCTACTTTTACCACAGTGGAGGTGGATGGAAGTGGTCTGGGTAATGATGTAGATTTTCTCCAGGTGATTGTCAGGCTGTCTTTAAACTTTTCCCATTAGGGTGTGCAGAAGCAGCAGCAGCAGCAGCAGCAGCAGCAGCAGCAGCAGCAGCAGCAGCAGCAGCAGCAGCAGCAGGGTTTCTCAGTGGCTCCAAGAGACCGTCACACCTCATGCTGGGCTGCAAATTTCTACACAGACTGGTTAAGGATACATTGCATAGGCTTGGCAGGCTTTGACCCCATTGGATTTCAAGACTGTTTAGACAATAGCCCAGGACAATTTACCAAAATGACAACTTTTTTTGCTAACCAGATGTTTTTGTAAACAGACACAACAGACTTAGTCTTGTAACCATCTCTGATGGATGCAATCTCCACACTTGCACACCTGTTAACACTATTTTTATGCCTTTTTTTTTTTTTTTTTTTTTTTTTTGTCGGTCGTGGGGCTTGAACTCTGGGCCTGGGCACTGTCCCTCAGCTCTTCAGCTCAAGGCGAGCGCTCTACCACTTGAGCTACAGCGCCACTTCCGGTTTTCTGGTGGTTTATTGGAGATAGGAGTCTCACGGTCTCTCCTGCCCGGGCTGGCTTTGAACCGCGATCCTCAGATCTCAGCCTCCTGCGTAGCTAGGATTACAGGCGTGAGCCACCAGCGCCCGGCTTTATTTTTATGCCTTTTAAAAAATAATTATTTTATCTATTTTGCCTCGTTTTTCCAAAACTGACTCTGGACTCTTCATCTTAAAAGGGGGTTGATGGGTGAAGGTCCATCTTCTGTAACTTCTTCAATCTGACTTCAGGGACGTAGATCTTACCTAGCCAGGAACCTATAACCTTAGCCTATTTTACAAAGAGGTTACCAGGGTTAGATGTCATTAAGAACAATATTTTAACTTTTGACAAATGTACAAACCTTTTCTCCGGCTACAGCAGTTTCTGGCTACAGCAGTGTAGCTTGTTTAGCACTCTGGTTTGTAAAAGCATCGTTTTGGATGGCTTAGGAATGTGATCTCCAGTGACCCTAACAATGCCTAAGTTACCTATGCAGGCCTTCAGACAGATGTTAATAGAAACACACTCTCAGGTTTACAAACTTTTTCTGAGTAGATGAATTTCATGAAGCTGGTGTCAGCTCAATTACTGCCAATTAGGGCTTTTGGCACATACAGGGGTTGGGATTTAAACTATCCCCCACATTTTACAACCTTAGCTTTTTAGTACTATCACAGATGACTGACAAGTTTCTGTCCCTTACAAGGTAGTCATGAACATTAGGCATGCTTACAAACTATCTTCCCATGACCTCCTGGCTCTGACCAGTTTTTGAAGGGCCACACACAAATGACTGTAGGATCTGACATTATTTCTGCCATCCATGCAGTGGCTTACTGCCTCTGGATGCTCCACCGTTGCTTTTGTCCCAGGATTGTCTTCTCCACACTGGGATAAATACCTCATTGGCATTTCCCTTAGCTGGTTGCTGGACTTGAACTCGGGGCCTGAGCGCTGTCCCTCAGCTCTACAGCTCAAGGCTAACACTCTGCCACTTTGAGTCCCAAAGCAACTCTGCTTGCTCTTTCAGCCTTCCACTGGCTAAGTAGAGGTGACAGTCTCACGCGGACCTTTTTCTGCCTGGGCTGGCTTCGAACCAGTTTGCAGATCTATGATTCTTATAAAAGGCCACTTTACTCCAATTAAAAACAACAAGGTGGTCAACATAGAAGTAGCCTTTAAGCATGCTCTTACTTGGAACTTACTAAGAGCCAGAGTTACATCTGATAAATTTGTAAAAATCCTCTGTACTTTGCTCTGGGCTTACTGGAAATGTTTAAAAAAAAAAAAAACCTATAAGAGCAAACTAGAATAGCAATTATTTTGGTAATTCTAATTTTTTTCTTTGTGCACTTTAAGGCAAATGTTAAGAACAATTTTACTTTTAAACTTTATATCCAAAAATCCATTTTTAATTTTTAAGCTTTAAAAAAATATTTTATACTTTAGTTTTCATTTGTGTTTTGAAAAGATCCCTTGAAATCTTGAGGCCAAGTGTCACTCATTGTCTCTTGGCTGCTTGTTTTAAAACAGATACATATAAAAACTTTTAAACTCAAATGACAATTTTTTCTTGGTGTAAGAATTACAGTCACCATCACTGTACCAAGGAACTAGACTTAACACCTTTATGACTTAAAAAAAAATCCTAATTGTAAAACATCATTGAAAGAAAGTCACATTATACAAATAAACTTCTTTTAACCCTCTTATTAAGGCCTTCTTAATTTTAATTTTAACGCATCCAAGGGGTAGGTTTAGTAATACTAATCAGATCATCACATCACTAATTTTTACCATCTTGTTTCCAGTGTCTATTTGCAGGGAAAAGGGACAGAACAAAGATGGGCCACATGGACCCTCAGCCCCTCCTATGGAATGGGCATGTACCCAATCTGACTCGTTAGGGTTAGATGAACTGCATTTGGCCAGCTTGCCCTCTTTCACCATGCGTGGACTCCTCCCAGGGCCCGTCCCACCATCTGTGGACTCCCCCCAGGGTCTGTCCCACCATACATGACCAGCTGAACTGCACTTCTGCCTGCTCACCCCTCACCGCTAAAGCTAGAACTTCTATTGGCTTCTAAGTTTTTCCCTTTTCTTTTTTTCTTGGTCAGGCAGAATAGTTAACATCTTTGACAGTGTTGAACTAACCTTTACATTTAAATTTCTAATATTTATTCCCAAATTTTAGCCAAGGGAACTAAATCCCAAATAGCTAATGCATTTTAAAATATTAAATTTTTAAATACCAGATTTTCTAATTTTTAAGTTAAAGAATCCTTAAAAAGCCACTTAAAATGATGTGAAAGTTCTTTAAAATTTTTGGTAATGTCCAAACCTCATAACCTTTTACATTTTTTTTCAAATTTTTTATTGTGATTAAGTGGTTACATAATTCCCCAAATTTCACAGTATTGTGGGATAGTGATGCTCAGTTAAAGTCACAAACACATTCTAACTTTCCTGGAGCAAATTGTCTATCACATTTATGAGTTCTATGAGCTTTGCAATATGGTTATTTCTTCCACATTGGGTGATATGTACATTTCTTCTGTTTTGCATAGCATCAGCTGTTCCCTCTTTCCCACTTGTTCCCTCACTGCCATTGAGTGGCTTAGTTCATTTTGGTCAATGTCCAGTGCAGCTGATGGGTCCCACTGATTCCTTCTAGTTCTGATTCCCTGATTCCTTCTAGTTCTGTGCCATCCTCCTGGTTCCCCTAGTGTGTACACATATATACCATACATGTGATCAGCAGCATAGGGTTATTTAGTAGTGATTCAACCAGATGAGTGGAAGTCCTTTGTTTCTTAAGTCCTGTTAATTTTGTCATATCACCTAACATTTTGGATTTAACATCCACGTATCAGGGAGACCATGTACCATTTGTCTCTTTGCTCTTGGCTTACCTCGCTCAACATGATTTCTTCTAGCTCCATCCATTTCTCTGCAAATGCCATTATTTTGTCATTTCTAATGGCTGCATAATATTCTATTGTGTATAGACACCACAATTTTTGGATCCATTCATCTGTGGTGGGACTTTTGGGTTGTTTCCATATCCTGGCTATTGTGAACAGTGCTACAATAAACATGGAGGTGCATGCGTCCTTGTATACTGGTTCCTGTTGTTCAGGATAGATGCCTAGAAGTGGTATGACTGGGTCATAAGGGAGGTCAATATTTAGCTTTCTGAGGACCCTCCAGACTGCTTTCCAAAGTGGTTGTATAAGTGTGCATTCCCACCAGCAGTGTAATAGGGTTCCTTTTTCTCTGCATCCCCTCCAGCATTTGTTGTTGGCTGACTTGAGGATGTGTGGGACATTCTGACTGGGGTAAGGTGGTATCTCAGGGTTGTCTTCATTTGCATTTCCTTCACAACCAGGGATGGTGAACATTTCTTCATGTGTTTCTTTGCCATTTTTATCTCTTCATCTGAGAAGTCTGTCTTTAGTTCCCTTGCCCATTTAGTAATTGGTTTGTTAGGTTTGGGAGGGATTAATTTCTTGAGTACCCTGTATATACTGGATATTAACCCCTTGTCTGATACATTGCTGGTAAATTCCCCCCCCCCCCCAATTAGTTGGTTGTCTTTCTTGCTTGGTTGCTATAGCTTTAGCTGTGCAGAAGCTTTTTATTTTAAGGTAGTCCCATCTGTCAAGTCTCTCTCCAATTTGTTGTGACCCTGGGACTCTGTTCAGGAAGTTCCTTCCTGTGCCTATAAGTTCAAGTGACTCTCCTACTCTGTCCTGCAGTAGTTTCAGAGCATCAGGTTTAATGATAGGTCCTTAATCCATTTTGAGTTGATGTTGGTGCATGGTGATAGGCTGGGGTCCACTTTCAGTCTGCTGCATGTGGCTGCCCAGTTTTCCCAGCACCAGTGGTTGAAGAGGCTGTGTTTCTTCCATTGTATGTCTTTGACTCCTTTGTCAAATATCAGCTGACTGTAGGCATGTGGATTTATTTCTGGATCTTCTATTCCATTCCATTGGTCTTTGGGTCTGTTTTTGTGCCAGTACCATGCTGTCTTTGTTATTATGGCTCTATAGTAGAATTTGAAGTTCGGCATGGATATCGCTCCCATGTTGTCTTTATTCCCTAGAATTGTTTTGGCTATTCTAGGTCTTTTGTTGTTCCATACAAATTTTTGGACTGTTTTCTGTATTTCAGAGATGTACGTCATTGGGATTTGTATAGGAATTGCATTAAATTTGTATATTAATTTTGGCAGTATTGCCATTTTCACTATATTGTCTGCCTATCCAAGAGCATGGGAGGTCTTTCCATTTCCTAGCGTCTTTTGTAATTTCTTTCTTTAATTTTTTATAATTTTCCTTAAATTGTTCTTTTACATCTTTGGTTAAGTTAATTCCTAAATATTTTATTTTTGGAAGGTTATTGTGAATGGGGTTGCTTCCTTTATTTCCCTCTCTGCTTGTACATTGTCAGTGTATAGGAAGGCTACTATTTTTGTGGGTTGATTTTGTATCTTGCTACTTTGCTGAAGTGATTTATGATTTCTAAGAGTTTGGGGATGGAGTTTTTGGGATCATGAAGGTTTAGTATCATGTCATCTGCAAAAAAGGGATAGTTTAACTTCTTCTTTCCCTATGCGGATCCCTTTAATGTCTTTTCCTTGCCTTATTGCCCTGGCTAGGGGTTCCAGGACTATATTGAAGAGGAGTGGAGACAGTGGGCATCCTTGCCTTGTTCCTGATTTTAGGAGGATTGGTTGTAGCTTTTCCCCATTAAGTATAATATTGGCTATTGGTCTGTCATAAATGGCTTTTATTGTTTTAAGAAATGTTCCTTCTATTCCTATTTTCTCCAGAGCTTTTAGCATGAATGAATGTTGAATTTTATCAAAGGCCTTTTCTGCATCTGTGGAAATAATCATGTGATTCTTGACCTTGGCTCTGTTGATCTGTTGGATTACATTTATTGACTTACATATGTTAAACCATCCCTGTATCTCTGGGATGAAGCCTACCTGGTCATAGTGTATGATTTTTTTTATGTGTTTCTGGATTCTGTTAGCTAGAATTTTGTTAAGGATCTTTGCATCTGTGTTCATCAAGGAAATTAGCCTGTAATTCTCTTTTTTGGTTGGGTCTTTGCCTGGTTTAGGGATGAGTGTGATATTGGCATCGTAGAATGAGTTTGGGATAGCTCCCTCCTTCTCTGTTTCTCTGAAGAACTTGAGGAGTATGGGTATTAGGTTTTACTTTAAAGGTCTTATAGAATTCTGTTGTGAATCCATCTGAGCCTGGGCTTTTCTTTCTTGGAAGACTTCTGATTGCTTCCTGTATTTGGTTGTAGGATATTGGCTTATTTAATTGATTTACTTCTTCTTTGCTCAGTTTGGGCAACTTGTTTTTCTCTAAAAATGCATCCATTTCTGCCAGGTTTTCTTTCTTTAGAGAGTATAACTTTTGAAAGTAGTCCATTAAAATTGTTTGGATATCTTGGGTACATGATGTGATTTTTCCTGTGGCATCCCTAATCTTGTTAATATGGGTTTCCTCTCTTCTTTTTTAAATTAAGTTTGCCAATGGTCCATCAATTTTATTTATTTTTTCAAAGAACCAGCTTTGTGTTTTGTTAATTTTGGTTATGATTCTCCTATTCTCTATTTCATTATTCCTCACTCTTAGTTTGGTTATCTGGCTCTGTCTAGTAACTTTAGGTTCTATTTTTTCATGTTTTTCTAGCTGTTTTAATTGCAACATGAGATTATTTACTTGGTCTGTCTCTATTTTCTTGATGTGGGCACTGAGGGCAATAAATTTGCCCCTCAGGACTGCTTTTGCTGTCTCCCACAAGTTTCTTTGTGATGTGTTTTCATTTTCCTTGAGTTGTAGGAATTTTAAAATTTCTTCTTTAATCTCTTCTGTTACCCAAGCATTGCTTAGAAGTGTACTGTTCAATTTCCATGTATTTGAGTAATTTCTGTGGTATGCTTTGTTATTGAGAACTAGCTTGAGTCCACTGTGGTCAGATAGGATACAGGAGATTGTCAATCCCCTTGTATTTGCTTAAGTTCCTTACATGAACTATGATAAGGTCTATTTTGGAGAAAGTTTCATGAGCTGCTGAGAAGAATGTGTACTGTGTTGTTTTAGGGTGAAATACTCGGTAGATGTCAGTTAGTTCTACCTGAAGTATGGCCTCACTTAATTTGGTAGCTTCTTTGCCAATCCTCTGGTTGGTAGACTGTCCTTTGGTGAGAGTGGGGTGTTAAAGTCTCCTAGAATTATCGCATTGGGATCTATTTTATTCTGTAAGTTTGAGAGTATTTGCTTAACATATTTGGGTGCACCAATGTTTGGGGACTATAAGTTGATGATGGTAATATCCTCCTCTTGGATTGTTCCTTGTATTAATATGTAGTGTCTGTCCTTGTATTTTTGTATTGATTTTAATGAAAAGTTTATTTTGTCAGCTATCGGTATTGCTACACCTGCTTTCTTACTGGGGCCATTTGATTGGTAGATCCTTTTCCACCCCTTCACTCTGAGTTTGTTTGTATGTTTGGCTGAGAGGTGGGTCTCCTGAAGGCAACAGATGGATAGGTCAAGTTTTCTGATCCAATCTGCAGTTCTTTTTCTTCTGATTGGCAAATTAAGACCATTAATATTAGAGATAGTATAGCGAGATGCATTGTGGGTCCCTGTCATTCCCTGTTTTCCTAAGTTTTTCTTCTTTCCTTTCCTCCTGTGCTTGCTCAGTTAGACTTCTATTAATGCCTATCTGGGTGCAGGTCCCTGTTCCTGGTTGCTTTCTTCAGGTTGTGTTCCCCCTCTTAGTATTCTTTGCAATGCTGGCTTAATGTTTATGTATTCATTTAGTTTTTCTTTGGTATTAAAAATTTTCAGCTCTCCATTGAATGTGAATGCTAGCTTTGCTGGGTATATCAGTCTGGGTTGGCAGTTATTGGCTCTCGGGGCTCGTATGGTACTTTCCCAGGCCTTTCTTGCATTCAGTGTTTGTGTGGAGAGATCTGCAGTGATACTATTTTTTTTCCTGTTGTAGTGTAGCTCCTTCTTCATTTTTGCTGCATTCAAGATTGTTTCCTTATTATTCTGATCTATCATTTTTACTATAATGTGTCTAAAAGTGTTTCTTCTGGGATCTTGCTTGTTAGGTGTTCTATATGCTTCTGTGATGTAGGTAAGATGTTCTTTTTTGAGATGGGGAAAGCTTTCACCGATTATCTTGTTGAATAGGTGTTGCATTCCCTTTCTTTATTATTCCTCACCTTCGTCCATTCCAATTATATGAAGGTTAAATTTCTTGGCATTCTCTGCTTGCTCTTGAATTTCCCTTTGGCATAATTTAAGTGATTTTTCCATATCTGTCATTTTTTTGGTCCAGTTGGTGTATTCTGTCTTCTGTATCTGACACTCTACATTCCATTTCGCTCACTCTGTTAACTATGGCTTCCATTGTGGTTTGCATGGAGGAAATGGACTCATTTATTGATTTGATGCTGGTTCTCAAAGTACTAATCTCACCTCTTATTGAGGTGTGTACTGCCTCTATTTTTGCACTAATCTCACCTCTTAGTGAGGTGTGTGCTGCCTCTATTTTTGCTTGCATCTCCTGTTTGATATTCTGCATCTCTTTTGATATTTTGACCCTGTGTTCTTTCCATTTCTGGTCTATTTCTCGCTTTATTTCTTGAGTCATTGCCTCCAGCATCTCTTGGATGTAGCTTTTGTCTTCCATTCCTGCTTTGCTCTCACTGGGGCTCTCCCCTGGGTGGCTGCTGGCTTTTGGAGATAGCTTGCTATCCTTGGTGTTGATAAATCTTTTAATTTTTCTCTGTGATTTTCACATGGGGATTCAGGGATTATTGGAGACTAATCTGAAATTTTGTTTTGGTCAATAGGTTTCTGTCTTTGCTTGGTTGCTGTTTCTGTGCTGGTAGAGAGAGTCTGTACCTGATCTCGGTTCTGGTGGGGACTGACCTCCAGCTGACCCACATAGGGTTCTCAGCTCTCTGCTATAGATCACTGGCAGTTCCTGTCTTTGGAGGGGTTGAGCAGCCCAGTCGCTCCTGTTTGCTCCTATAGGTGCTCTCGGTGAGATTGGATGTGCTGGATGCACTCTCCCAGATGCTGGAGTCTGCTATGGGCTCCTGATGTTTATGTTTTATTTTTGTTTGTTTGTTTTTTTTTTTTGGCCGGTTGTGGGCTTGAACTCTGGGCTTGGGCGCTGTCCCTCAGCTCTTCAGCTCAAGGCCGGCACCCTACCACTTGAGCCACAGCACCACTTCTGGTCCTTTCTGCTTATGTGGTGCTGAGGAATCAGATCCAGGGCCTCATGCACCTACGACAAGCACTCTACTGCTGAGCTACCTTACCAGCCTGAGCTCCTATTATCTGGTGCTGGTGGCCTGTGTTGTCCAATTCCCAGCCTAGAATATATAGGTCGGGTTCTGGTGGGGTTTAAGCTTTTCTTGTACTGAACCCCCGGGTCTTTTGCTGTCACAGGTGTGATTCCCAGGAGGTACAGTCCCCTGTTTTTCCCCCCTCTGATGAGGTGTATGCTCAGCTTCTGACTTCAGTTGGGAGGAGTTGGTTGAGTTGCTCAGGCATTGGATCTCGGCCTGGTCCTGGCCCCGGCCTGGGGCACACCAGTTGGACCTGTGCTGCTGTGTATCCCACCTAGGTTATGCAGCCTGGAGTACACAGTTCAAATTTCTTCCACTGTTGGCTGTTTTGACCCAGGGGCACTGTTCCTGGCTTGGGCATTTAAGCTCCCTTCCAGGGGCACTCTTGCTCTAGCCTGGCCAGCTGGGTGTGGTCCATGGGCTGGTGGAGCTCTCGAACAGTTCCCAGTTTTAGTGGGTCCTGAGGTCCAGGTGTTGGGGTAGGGGGCCTGGGTCAGGGTCTGGGGATTCCCACCATCTCTGGTCTCCCTGCGGGGTACTCACCCTGGAGCTAGTTGTTGTTTCTGTGTGATGTAGATCATTGGTTGCCGTTGCAATCAGAGTTCAGTTTAAGTGGTTGTGGGCTGGGCTGGGCTGGGCGGTGGTGGCTCTGCGTGTTTCTCCTCTGTTGCTGCCTCAATTGATACTGTTTGGGTTGTGCTGTGCGATGGACCTTGGGCCTCCACCCGAGGGGTTGGGGAGGGGCCTCCGTGCAGGTTCTGAGTGCTGGGGTTTGTCTCTGAGCTTTCTGGATCAGCACCAGTTCCTTGCAGGTCTTCTGCTCTGGTTTTCTGTGGGCATCCCTTGTAGCTCTGGGGTTCCTGCCGTGGGGCTGAGTGGCTTTGGCGGGATGGAGCCTCTCTGCTCAGATGGAGAGTGAGGGGTGGGGGTGGAATCTTTGTGCAGGCTCCCGGCTCCTGGGACTCTGGCAGCCCCCCGCCCGGCGGGGCTGGCCATGGCTTGAACACTGCCACGTGGCCAGTAGAGGTTAGGGGAGGGGTCTTCATGCTTCTCTGTTCTGAAATTCTTCTTTTTCTCTCTTTCTTTTTTGTTTTTTTCCGCCTCTGTTTTTCTCTGGGTGTTCATCTTTTTTGTTGTTGTCGGTCTCTTGGGGAGATTAAGCATTGGAACTTGAACTCTCTTTTTGGTTAGGGAGAGCTGAGTACTACCCTGTTGCCATCTTGGTCTTCCCTAACCTTTTACATTTTAAATTTAAACTCACCCAATTGTTACAGCATGCTGACAATTCTTATCTTGAACATGTTCACAGACACATACAAAACACTCGCACAGATCTTGCCACACACAGATCTTAAAGCGCAAAAATCAAAATCAGTTGTATGTACATTTTTTAAAGTTTTTAAACAAAAATTTAAGACAGTATTTCTTTTAAACTAAGTACCTTTGTTGAGCTTCATTTTTCCAGAGCTTGCTTGTTTAGCAAGGCGATTCACCAATGGGTCTTTTGAATCCCTTCTGTTGGAGGAGGGCTGGGGGAGGGGGTCACCTGAAACTAAACTGGTCTGATTTTTTATCCAATTTTAAACAAGAGCACTTTACAAATTGTTACATTGTCAGGACTAGCTGAAAAGTTCAAACCAAGCACACAGCCTTCTACACCCTCCCTGCCCGCAGCCTCCACAAGGAGAAAATGCAGCCTGAGGCTTGAAGGGAACCAAACTAGTCCAGCAACCTTCCACACCTCACAGGGAGGGGAGGCATAGCAGGTCTGTGACTGAGCCCAGCTGGAGGCTGGAACTTTTTTATTCCTCCAGAGATGTTTAAATAAATAACAAAAACACAAATAAACACAAAAACCAAGGATCCACATTTAAAACTGGTATCAATTCTAAAACTATAAGACAACAACCAAAGGCTGAGTTGGGGAATAATGGGCCCCCAGTTTATCCTTACCAGAACTCTGTGCCTTTCTCAATCAGCAAGCTGAATCCAGAGTCTGCTGAGTGAGCCTGCCACTCTCACCCAGAACTTCCCTACCTTAAAAAACAGAACAGAAAACACACCGAAGTAAAAAAGACAGACAAGTGGCCACAAAGACATAATCAGGTCTCAGTGAATGGAGTGACATCTCACCACCATTTACAAGTGGGACTTAAATCCACTTACCAGGGGATTTGAACCTCCTCTTCTCACCTCTGGAGGATTTATCTTTTAGATTCCTGCAAACGTTGACCCAGGGGCCTTCCAAGGTAGAGGAAAATTCCCAGTCATCTTGGGGCAAGGGAAAGAAGTTCCTAGCGGCCATCCCCTCAGACTGACAGGTTCTCCACCATGCTCAGACCCCCCTCCACCCCTCACCAGGGCCAAGGCCTGAGGCTGAGGCTAAGATCTTGCTGGGGCCACTTGCAGGTGGTCAGTGACAGTTTCATCGTGAATATGGTTGATAAATTGAAGGTCTCTCCAGCTGGCCACCCCCTGTCAAGGGTGGGCCATTCCAACTGGCAGTAAGTAATTAGTTTTTCCTTTTTTAATTTTCACACTTAAATTGTGGGCCCTGTCTTTAGCATCCTTGAAATGGTTTCGGGGAACTCAAGGATACCCTCTTGATCTGAAAATGAAAGTAAGATGAACAAGGAAGAATGTACCAAATCAGAATGACAAACAGAACACTCAACACAAAGATACAACTTAAGACAAAGACATATGCTGTTCATTATAAATTGCCAACCAGAAAGTGCCAGACTTGGAAAATTCTCCAAAAAATGCCCGCACGTCAGTGTCAGACTACAGACGGAAAATTTCCCCCCCACCCCAAAATCTGTACTAAACAGCAATTTACCCAGATGGGGACTGGGGAGTTCTCCCACATACCCCGTTGGCAGCCTGATAGCGCATCCTCCAAGACTCTTTGCCACCCAGAATGCAGACCCTGCGGTAAACCAGAATTATAGATACAGAACCTGCAAGTGACCAAAAATACAGAACAGCAATGCCTCAACTTACCAGCCAGGTTTTTCATGACTCTGTGATCTGGTGTCTGGGTTGGTTTATGGGGGGGGATACCGGACGAGCCCCCAGATGAAGTGTCCAGTTTCGGACGTCCCCTCACAGACCACCAGAGACCATGATCAAAGCAAACACCGAAGAGTCGTTTAGTGCAAGCTTAAGCTTGGTCCTCCGCGCACTTGCTAACTGGTGACGCTAAGAGGCCCCGAGAACAAAATCAGCATAGCTTTTTATAGTATTGAACAAACACCTTCACAAGTTCAGGGGGTTTCCACACAGCAGTTACATGATTGGTTAAAAATTGCATAGTACTGAGGTTTGAGTCCACCCTGACCACACTTCCCTTTTTCTGCTGGAACACTTGGGCAATTGCTGTGTTTCTTAAGGGTGGCAACCTGCAGTTTTTTCGAGAACTGCTCCTCTTTCAGGGTTATTCTGAGGACAGGACAGCTACAGGTTGGTGGGGTTAACTTAAAATTGAGTTACTTTAGCTCTTCAACAATTACATGAGCAAGGTAATGAGTACATTTCTTATCAAGCATTGTTGCCTCCTCCTTTGTTCCTCCTTACTATCTCTTCCCATCTCCTCCCCACCCCTCACCCCCAACCCTGCACCAAAGTTGTAAAGTTCGTTTTTTGACATAACGACTTGTACATCTTATTGTTGCAATGGGTCCACCTGTATCCCTATTTAAACAATTTGTTTTTTCCCTTCCCCTCCCCAAATTATACCAACACCAAATACAGTGAAAACAGGGGTTATACCATGGGGGAGGGACATACAAAGCAACAAAGAAATCATCTTATAAATATGTTAGAAACAATAGCAAGAAAGAAAAAAACATTTGAGTTCTTATCTGACCGTTTCTGCTTGTCTCAGACATATACTAGTATTACTGTAAAGTTTTTTTCAACCTTTTCAGTTGATGTCATTTGATTGGAAGGAAAGATTCTTACACCAATGTCTTTTTCTCAGAGAATATGGAAGTCTCTCAATGGTGTCTCTGATGATTAAAATTCTTATCTTAATGAGAACATACATTTTTTGTTTAATTGATTCAATTTTTGGGCATATATCTAGGATGCAGCATTTGTTAAGCACACTTGAGTTTGGAAGACTGGCAGGATATTGGATTGTAGGATTGCTATTACAGGAATAAGTCTAAGATTGTCTTTGAGAAGATTTAGCTGATAGTAAGGGTAGAATGAAATAGTAGACATTGGTATGGGCTTGTGTGAAGTTTCAGTGTTTCTGTTCATCTTGGCTTACTTGGTTATCAGTACACTTACATGGAAAGGAAAACAGAATCTGTGAAAGTCATCCAAATTAGACTGATCATGCCATCCATTTATAGTGACACTAAAGGTTATGCACTCTGAGGAACTTACCACAGAACACAGAGCTGACTCAAGATCTGAAATATATCAAACATTTAGAACTATTGATACTTTTATATAAAATATTCATGTTCTCAATCCTGTATTGAAAGTAACTCACATGTGGTGACATTTATGTCCGTGAGTCTCCATCCCAATCTGTAATACTTTGCTGAATCTCTTCAGAGCAAAGTGTAGACACAGCTCTTCCCTGTGGATGATCTTTGAGCATATCTTCTGGGAATGAAGATTTCTCCCACATGAACTTCTAGCACCGTACCCCAAGAAGTTAATAGTAATTTGTTTTCGACATTTAAACCCAGTATGTATTCAAATTTCCCACAGTTCTTTTGTATTTCTATGCTCCCATGTTTTCCACACTTTGTTTTATGTTGCCTTTCTTACACTCTTAACCTGAAATAGTCATCAAATCCTCCTGTCTTATGATAGTAATTAGATTTTTTGCATCAATTTCTGTCAGGTAGGTAGGACAATTGATAGAATGCTATATTTTTCAAGTAGAATTGTACTGGGGAGCATGCCATTCTTGTAATAGTAAAGATGCGTATTTTCATCATTTGGCTGACTATTCCTGGCCTCAGCTCTTTGTAAAGGCATGATTTACCATTTTGCAATCACGTTATAAATATTTCCAAAGTCCTTCCTACTTGTTCATCTCCAAGGTTCAATCTCAAGGCACATTTACACATAATTCTTGAGTTTCCATCAATGATTGTTAGGAAAATTAGAATCTCGGGATTTGTGCGTATTTTTCTTCTAATTACTCTGCTTCCCTATCTTAGAATGCAAACAATTTTATTCCTCACCTGGATAAACTAATTAGTCCTGTGAGATGAGGATCCTGATTAACCTTCCTCTTCAAAACAATGCTCTGATAAGGAATTCATCAGCAGGGGAAAATATTTTTGTCCCTCCTTTTGGTTTCTGCAAGTGTATTCTTACAAATTCATGAATGTTTATTTACTGTCTTGTTAAAATGGATTTTGCTGATTATTGCTTCCAATGCACAACTTTGACCGAATGTCACCAGCAGCTGTTTTCTTTGTGTGTGTGTGTGTACTTCTTTGTAAAAATAAGAAATTACCTTGTTACAAGTAGATAATTGTATTTAGCATTGATAATGTGGTCCACAGACTTGATTAACTCAAGAAAATTACTTTAAGAAACATACAATGGGGCTGGGAAGGTGGCTCAGTGGTAGAGTGCTTGCATGCATGAGGCCCTGGGTTTGATTTCAGAGCACCATATAGGCAGAAAAATCTGGAATTGGCACTGTGGCTCAAGTGGTAGAGTGCTAGCCTTGAGCTGAAGAGCTGAGGGACAGCGACCAGGCCAGAGTTAGGCCCCCAACCAACCAAAAAAAAAAAAAAAAAAAAAAAAAGAAACATACAATGATGATAAGGATATAAGATTATTTTTATAACAAAAACACTATTTTATGCTGATAATTTTAATTCCAATTTAATGTTCCACGTTTTTTTTAATTGTTCGGCTTTGTCTGATATTTTAATGTGATAGCATTGTGTCTTATTCACGTGTAGGTAGAGTGCCATCCGTATCTCAACCAGGGAAAGCTGCTGGATTTCTGCAAGTCAAAGGATATTGTTCTGGTTGCCTATGCCGCTCTGGGAACTCAAAGATACAAACGATGGTAATAAGTACAGCAGGGAGTTTGCTTAGAACACTATTGTTGAAAAGGTATCTTTATTCTTGTAGACTCAGCTTTTGTTGTTGTTGTTGGCTCTAGATGGTTTTTTTTTTTCCTTCTTTTCTTCCAGTCCTGGGGCTTGAACTCAGGGCCTGGGTGCTGTCCCTGAACTACTTTTGCTCAAGGCTAGTGCTCTACCACTTGAGCCATAGTGCCACTTCTGGCCTTTTCTGTTTATGAGGTACTGAGGAATTGAACCCAGGGCCTCATGCATGCAAGCTAAGCACTTCACCACTTAGCCACCTTCCCAGCCTGTTGTAGTTGTTGTTTTTTTGTTTTGTTTTATTTCATTTTTGTCCATTGTGACCTTGAACTCAGGTCATGGATGCTGTCCCTTAGCTTTTCTGCTCAAGGCTATCACTCTATCACTTGAACCACAGCTTCATTTCCAGTTTTCTGTTGGTAAATTGGAGGTAAGTGTCTCATGGGCTTTCCTGCCTGGGCTGGCTTCAAACCAAGGTCTTCAGATCTCTGCCTCCTGTGTACCCTGAGCCATCAGAGCCCAGCTTAGTCTCAGCTCTTTAAAGTACATTCTGAACTGGCCCAGGGGAAAATGTGTATCTAAGTGCACTCTTTTTTTGCTAAGCCAGTACTCCTGGTCTGAAAAAGGGCACTCCAATACATTCTGGAAGTCTCCCAACAAAACTGATTACTCAGCCTCTGGAGTTCAGCACTTCTGTCTCTCTTTCCAGGGTGGACCAGAGCTCCCCAGTACTCTTGAATGATCCAGTTCTTGGTACCTTGGCCAAAAAGTACAATAGAAGTGCAGCTCTGATTGCTCTTCGCTACCAGGTACAACGTGGAGTTGTGACTCTGGCTCAGAGTTTCAAAGAACAAGAGATGAAAGAGAACGTGCAGGTAATGAAGGTGCTGTTGGCATATGGGTTCCTATTTACTCTTCAGGTGAATCCTCTGAACATATTTCTGGATCAGATGGTTGTCTGTAGCATTGGCTGTGCCTGTGATATTCCCAGTGCTCTTGGAAATTTTTTCTCCTAACTTACAAAAGAAGAGATGAGAACAGCCATATTTTAGAATTAGGATTGGGAAGAGCAATGATATTTTGGCTTCAGAATTAAATCATCCATGCACCGCATATCCCTGCACCATTGATATTATCTTTTCTTAGAGTAGTGATTTTTATTCTGCAAGTTATTATGTTTGTATGTTTTCATTTGCTTTGTTATGAGTTTCTCTACTGGTTGATTTCTTTCCTGTTTGTCCATTGATCCGGGTTGATGACATCACTTTTGCTATATTATTACTTGCAGTAGTTATAAAACAAACTGTGCATACTAGAGCATTTCTTTAGTTCAAGGTGCTATTGTTAAGCCAATTGCTGGTGACTCATGCCTATAATCCTAGTTACTCAGGATGCTGAGATCTGAGGATTGTGGTTCAAAGACAGTCCCAGCAGGAAAGTCCATGAAACTGTTATCACCAGAAAACTGGCACTGTGGTTCAAAGTGGTGGAGCATTAGACTTGAAGGAAATAGCTCAGGTAAAGCACTCAGGGCCTGAGTTCAAGCCCCATGACTGACCAAAACAAAATATCCTATTGTTTGGAAACTTGCCGCAAATTCAGTAAAGATTTTTTCCATGTTGGCTGAGTTTGCAGCAATATCAGAACTGTCACGTATTTTCTGGAAAATCAGACTAGTCTGTCTTGTGATAGTAATTGTGCTATTCCCTAAGTTCCTCAGTTCTGTATCAATTTCTTCCAACTAGTGCAGGTTGTATGTCTTCACATAGACATACACTAAGGCAACGTGCTTCTACTTGCATGCCTTCAATGCCCAGACTCAGAAATGGTATGTAACTGCTTTTGCTAAACTCTACTATGTTAAAAAGTAAGCAGATTCAAGGAATGGGGGAAGTAATAACACATCTACTAGAAGTTGGAAATCTGTGCAAAAAAAGGTATGAAGACTGAGAAGTATGACTAGAATAAGGTCTTTTAATAATTAATTTGCATTCACATATTCTCAATATGAACTGTTTTTTTTCCAAGCCCTGATTTATCAGAATATCTCCTCTAACATTCTCCTTGTGTTTGTATGCTTGTTTTCATGTGCTCTCATGTACAAAATTTTCTTCTGTCATTGTAATATGCATGCCTTTGCTTTGTCTCTGGTTAGTGTCAGGTCTTTTATACTTTGGAATCATCAGAACATTCTACTTACTCATCTTACTAAAGTATTACAACCTCCTCCTAATTCAATTGTAGCACACATAATACACATACATAATTTTAAAATGATAAATAGATGATCTCAGTGAGAGTAATGCATATAAGGCTTCTTTCCTACTTTGAATGTGTCATTTCCTCTCTCCTATTGCCTTAATAGTGCTAGAACATCAGTCTTATTGTCCCATATGGAAAAAAAAATATTTTCCTGAGCCTTCCCTTGTGCTATTGAAGAGTGTCTTAGCTATTCTTGACAGATTGTCCTGTTATATTTAGAATAACTTTACTATCCTCTTACCTGAATAAGTCTATTAGTGTTCTGATATCTAAGTTGTGATTTTCTAAATTATTAACCAATCTAATTTAATTTCAGAGATTATTTTTTGGTCTCTCTGATTCTTTCAGTGTCTGTCTGTCTGTATGTTTCTCTCTCTCTGTCTCCCTCCCTCTCTCATAGACATATACCACTACCACCACCACCCCCACCACCATCAAATTATAATTAGTGAAATTTGATATGTTCTTCAAGGGACCCAAATTAGGTGAAAAGATTCTCTTCAAGCCATCTCCATTTTCCATTTAAAATGATATAATTAACATTTGGACAATGCTGATTTTAATTATGTTGAAAAGAGCCTTTTCTTTTAATTGTTTTTTAATTGATATAGAAATCTAGCTGTGTGCATGAAGATATTTGAATTGTGTTGTTTCAAAACTTGCTGTTCAAATCTTTTAAATAGGGATACAGGTGGACCCATTGCAACAATGAGATGTATAAGTCGTTATGTCGAAAAACAAACTTTACAACTTTGGTGGAGGGAGGGAGGATCAGGTGGGGGGGCGGGGAGTATGGGAAGGGATGGGAAGGGGAAACAAAGGAGGAAGCAACAGTGCTTGATAAGAAATGTATTCATTATCTTGCCCCTGTAATTGTAACCCCTCTGTACGGTATTTTCACAATTAAAAAAAAAACTTTCTGTTCATTCTTTGGTAACTTCTATGAAGCTAAAATATTTTAATAATATGAGCAGTGTTTCTGGATCAGCTACTTTTCATGTCTTCTTTTGTATATAGCACCTTGTAGCTTCAATAAACTTAGGGTTTCAAGAAATTTGAAAGATGCTTTAAATGCTGACTACGAAATCTGATTTATTTGCATATTCAAGATTGGTCAGTGTAGTGTCTAAGTATTTTAAAATGTTTCTGCTTGCATCATAGGTTTATGGATTCCAGTTATCTTTAGAGGACATGAAAGTCCTAGATGGCCTGAACAGAAATTTCAGATATCTTTCTGCTGATATGTAAGTAATGTTATCATTTTATTTTAAGCTTCAACTTCATTTAGTTTCGGGTCTCTTCTATCCTTTTTAGAACCTGAACACTTTCTTTGCCTCTCCAATGGCTCCCACTGTGGGAGTCAATGGAACATTTGTTTTTGAGTTTCTGAACTAGGAATATCTCAGTGCACAAGACAAAGAAACTTAGGAGAAGACAGCATGAAAGCAAGTAAATGCTGTTTCCATCATTGAAGAAAATTCATAGTCGTCAAAAATGTCTTTCTCCATGGTCTATACTCAAGGAATGTGACAATGGGCATATGTCATACATGAGCATGAACAAGTAGTATGTATCCCTTTGGTTGTTCATATTGTTAATTTGTGATAAGAATAAATGTGCTCCTATTTGAAAGGAGATTAGCAAATCAACAGTAACATTGCTCAAAAATGGGTAGATACATTACCATTATTAAAATTTTTATTAGTATGGAGAAAGATGAAACTAATCTAAGGACATAACACCATGAGAGACAAAGCACTAAACAATAAAAATTTACATTCTGGGCTGGGAAGGTGGCTCAGTGGTAGAGCGCTTGCCTTGCATGCCAGAGGCCCTGGGTTCGATTCCTCAGCACCACATAAGCAAAAAAGAAAAAAGTCGGAAGTGGCGCTGTGGCTCAAGTGGTAGAGTGCTAGCCTTAAGCTGAAGAGCTAAGGGACAGCGCCCAGGCCCAGAGTTCAGGCCCCACGACCAAAAAAAATTTACATTCTTCTTAAATACTTCCATAGGTAATGTTTCTTTGTTATTTTTATATTTTGTGTTGGTAAATATAGAGCTCTATCCATTCTATGGTAATGTGGACCTATATTTTATAAATTACTTCTTCCATATCTGAATCTAATACAATATGATATACATGATAGTAGTAACTAATCCAATAAAATAGCAAATTAATTTAAATTATATACATAACTTAAATGAAGTAGTAAAATTTAAATTACATTTGTCATCCCAAACATTATACCTTAAAGTACTTCTTGTGTTGGTTGCTCTTTGAAATTGTCTTTGTACTGAGCTTGACATAAGAGATTTCTTTTCTCTATGAGAAACTGAAATAAAAAGGGGCATTTAAAAAATTTCTTTCCTTTGTTTGATGGACACACAGAGAAAAGGGAGAAGTATGCATCTATGCTTATTGTCATTTTTCCTGTGTGTTCTGTTCTGTTCAATATAGTTGGGAGAGTTTGGTTCTTATATTTTAAAACTACTTCGTGTAAAGTTAAAGTCATGAAAATTAGAATGGCAGAAAATAGTCAGAAAATATAATGATTAATTTCTAATTGAATTGTAGATTTATAGATATCACATATGAACTTCTATAGAAATGGATCCTAGAGCTTATGGTATGCATTCTTTGTCTTTGTAGTTTTCTTGATCACCCTAATTATCCATTTTCTGATGAATACTGAAATGGAGGCCTGTGTGACGTCTTCTACCTGAAACTCCTGTGTACAGAGGGCCCTGGGAAGCCTAATGGCTCTGCCATTGGGATTTATCTGTTCTACTCCATTGCTGCCGCGTAGGAGTTACACTCAGCTTAAGCTGAGTCCCCAGTCCCCCATCCCACCTAGAAGAGAATGATTTCCAATTTCATCACTTGTTTAAATAAAATTAAAGTTGTCTTCTTGAAGATCTGTCTCACCCCTGTCACTATCACTTGTATGTTGTGTTTCCTAACGCCCCATTGTGACTCAAGACCGGCTAGAAGTCTGAAGGTTGAGATTAGAAGACTATAATACTGTTAATTTGTTTTGTTTTGTTTCAGACTAAGTAATGAAATATAGCCCCTTTGGTCTTGAACATGTGATCTCCCTGCCTCAAACATCGGAGTGCCAGGATTATAGGCATGCATCATTACACTTGGCTGTTAATGGCCACACTGTGGACATTAGAGAGGTGAGGATGGTCTTGTTCTCAGGCTTCAGGAAAATAATGGTTAGTAGGAAATTAACAGTCAATGTTCCTCCAGTGAATGACATTTAGTTAAAGGTTCTTAGTGTTGAAGGAGAGTTACAGTGCAAGAATAATCACTGGTCTCAGGGCAGCTCCATATTAAAGCACCTAGAAACTGGAGAGTGAAGTATTCCTGTGCAGGTTTGAACTCTGGTGAAGTGGTGAATCATTAGCAGTGATCAAGATCAGGATTGAGATGAGATGCTAGGTCAGCAGGAAGGAGGTGAACACATCCCTCCTTGGGAAAGGTACTATAC